AGTGTCACAGCTCACAGCAACCTCACACTCTTGGGCTCAAGTGATTCTCTTGCCTCAGTCGCCCAAGTAGCTGGGACTATAGGTGCCTGCCACAACACTTGGCTGTTTTTTTGTTGCAGCTGTCATTGTTGGTTAGCTGGCCCGGGCTGGGTTCGAACCTGCCACCTTTGGTGTATGTGGCTGGCACCGTAACCACTGTGCTATATAGGGGTGCTGAGCCTTGCGAATTTTCTTAAATAAACTTTTTCTTGAAGTATAATATATAAAGAGAATATTAAACCAAGTCTAAGAGGACAGTATTGTGCATCCCTGCTGCATGAACACACCCCATAGCCTCCTTCCCATGAATGATGAAGGCTAGACCTGGAAGGACTCTTACATCCTCCAAAGACAAACTTGACTCTCATGTCTGACACCATGAACTCCACAGATGAGTTTAGCCTGTTTTGGAATTTGTAAAATAAAATAAAAGCATGTGCACTCATTCATGTGCCTGACTATTTTTGTTCAACATGACGTTAGTGACATTCATCCATATGTTGGTACAGCATTCCTTTTTCATTGACATGTACAATAGTACATATCCACAATTTAGTTCTCTATTTTGTTGATTCTCATTTTTCTCATTGCAAAATTTCTGCTTTCCTTTTGAATGTGACCTTAGAGGAGCCTGTGTCTGTTTTCTGTTAGCAATGCACCTAGGAATAAGATTGCTGTGCATTTTCACCTTTAGACAATTCTGCCATATGGTCTTCAGGGTGTTTGTACCAGTTTATATTTCCACTAGGCACATTAGAGAGTTTCAGTATCTTCATATTCTCCCAGTACTGTGTTGTCAGTCTTTTAAATAGTGTTTAGTGGAATTCTACTCTTGTATAATTGCATTTATGTGATGGTTAATGAGGCTATTTTCATATGTGTTTAAGAATTGGTGAGATATTCTGGATGAGTTCTTTATCTCATTGTAGACTGCTAATATCTCATACTCAGTGCTTTTTGCCTTTTTACTTTCTTAGGTATAACCAGAATTTGATTTGCAGAAATAATTCTTCTTCCTTCTTCCTTCCTCTTTCTTTTTTCTTTTCCTTCTTCCTTCCTCTTTCTTCCTTCTTCTTTCTTCTTCTTTCTTCCTGATTCTTCCTTCTTCTTCCTTCCTCATTCTTCCTTCTTCCTTCTTCTTTCTTCTTCTTCTTCTTGACAGAGTCTCACTCTGTTGCCTGGCTAGAGTGCTGTGTAGTAATCATACCTCACAGCCACCTCAAACTCCTGGGCTCAAGCA